AAGCAAAGTGGTAAAATAATTTTCTCCAAACCTGTTCTCATTATCTTTATTCCTTCCAGAAGCACCTGGACGACCGGGACGTCCTGAATGTGATCTCGTCTCGGATACGGAGGCAATGTTGTCATGGGAAGCACCTGAAGGACCAACGTACCTGGAAGGGATAACTTATCGACTTGAGTATCGAAATGCTGGTAAGTGCTTCCCTGCTTGCATTTATTGGCCCACTATCGGGTCCTGATGTAGCGCGGGTATGCAGTGCAGTACCTGTCAAGGAGTAGATGACGTGTCATTGACGTCACACAACACTTCAGTGACGTGCTCTGTGACGTCACGGCGATAAATTTGGCTCTGAATGGGTAGCGGACCTGTGCTAAACCTGCTTCTATTATTGATTTATTCAGATGTGAACGATTATCTCGCCCCATGGGTGGTGATCAGCGAAAATGTAGACGATGAGGCAGCGGCAGTCCGCCACCTGAACCCCCTAGGAATCTATCAATTCCGAGTAACCGCGAAAAATGGATTTGGATACGGTCTACCTAGTTTGATTAGTCGCCTTATCCAGACGAATGGAAGAGGTGGGTTACTGGTAGAACCAGATGCATCAAACTTCGCACCACTTACTGGTAATGATTACAGGAGCTCCTAAGCTGCCTCTCGATGGTATGAAAGAGGAATGCCGATTCAATGTGCTCACGTTACCCCAAAAGAGGTCTGCAGCTCGGCAACTTGAAGAGATTTCTGAAGAGAGCGAGGAGGATCATTCTCGAGTTGAGCCATGTGCTCCATTGGAGCTCTTGGCAGAGGATCCTACGAAGAGGTTCCAGGTAGGCTATGAGTAGATTCCATGTCTTTTCCTGATTTGGCACGATGCCACACTCATCTTTCTCTCGTCGAAGTTGCACGGCTTTGCCGCGCGCGACAAGCGGCGGAATCGCGCGGTGCGCCCCTTGGTCCTTGATCGAGTGGGAAATCTAAGCTCGTTGGGCTCTATTTCACTTCCCTTCTCTTCATTGTTAAACTCATACTCTTTCATAGAACGATCGGCACTATTTACCCTTTACTGCCCCAGTCATCCGAAATCAGGCCAGTTCCTGACCGACTTTTTTCTCCGTGGGCAGAATTTGCTGAAAACTTGGCTCCAGGGGTAGTTCGACTCGCTGAACACGAATATCGCATCCGCTTAACCCGAAACCTCCTGGCGCCCGCGCCACGGGCGCCGGCGCCAAAATAGTCGAAATCACCAAATTCGCTGAAAACTTGCTTCCAGGGGTGGTTGATTTGACTGCCCTTAT